TAACTACGTTTTTTCCACTTTCCACTTCTACAAATTTCTTTCCCTGCCTGTCCTATTTCCCCACCCCAAAACCCCTATAATCAGCGTTTCCATATGAAAAAATACTGGGACTAGGGGTTTATGAGATGCTCTACATAAACTACTCTCGCCTGAAACTATCATGGTGCACTAAAAGCCGTGACTTGGAAGGTCGCCAACTTATAGGTTAACTTGGTTCTCCTCGCAGGACTGCGAGCCGGGCTCAATGACGTCTTCTTAATGCAACCTCTAAGGCACTCTCACTTGGCTGAGATCTGTTCCGTCTCTGTGAGAACCCGGCACATTGTGCTGGAACCAGACTGAGTGTGGTACGCGTGAGCTGATTGTTTATTCTGGACAATCACTGCATCTGGGTTCGCCTCCGCTCGTCCTGACACTGTCTCACCGCCTTTTGTAGGTCACACTGTCATGAGTGAATAATACAGTTTCTGACAGCCTTATTCTTCGTGAGTTTTTATAGTCCTTTTCGGATGTGGACGGGCCTGAGCTCTACATTGGTTCATATATTGTGCTCCTAGCCAGTGAAAATAGACAAGGTTTAGGTGAAAGGTCATCCCTTGCTAAACGCATGAGGTGATGGTTCATAAATCATGTAGTCCGAATAGAAGACATGGTCTGATGCAGTATATTCCTTCCTCTTTACTTTGACGCCTCAGTCATTATCCTCGTAGGCCACTGGACACTTTAGGAGTATTTATAAAGATGGCAGATGCTGGAATGAACATTTCTGGATTATTAGAGCTCGTCAACTGGTTACATCCAAATCCCAGATTTGCATAGCCCTGGTCATGAAGCTGGGCTTCTCAGCCTCTAGATACAACTTACCATTCTGGAGGAGTGGATGAAGGGTCTTGTTGCTCTGTCACTGACAGAGTGTTTATGTAAAAAGCGAAAACTAAAGCGCTATTCGCAGACAGACTTTGTCTTACATATGAAAAACCAGTATCACAAACTACTAGACTTTTGTCGCACATTAGAGGGCTCGAATGTAAGTAAGCCATGGTAGTTCTCTCTTCTAGTATGGGTAGTCGTCAATAAAAGTATTGTCCAGGTACGCTCCACCGATCTACGACAAGCAACAAGAGGTTATCCTGAACTTACCGACGATCTCGAGAGCGTCCTTAAAGTTGCCCGAAGTTTCTTTTTTAATTGCCTTCAGTAGATCGTGTCCCGTGGCCTGAAAGTAATGTTCATATCAGTTATTACAAAATTACGTGGGAGAGATTAAAAGCAATCACCTGGCCAATTGTTGCAATTTTGAGCAATATTTTCCAAGGGCTTTTGATTTTGGTGACCAAAAATACTCCATCTCATGAGGTAAGAGAAACATAACAATAAGCATGCAACTTACGGCAGAGTAATCTTTGTTCATTTCGCGGATGTGACGATGGCTCCTGTTGGCCAAGATTCGCACAAACACCGACTCATCAGTTCCTGACGTTCTGAAGAGGAACAAATATAACTACAGAACACCTTAGTTTTGCCAAATGCAGTAACTTTGTGCGCAAATGATTGACTTTAGTCGTATCGCATGCCCGTGATTGGACTACATATAACTTACCCCTCGCCAGCGGCATAAAGGGCCTCGCAATCAGCGACCACGGTTGCTTTGGCTGTATTCGCTTCGCGTTGGCCCTGAAGTAGAGCGA